CACGGCCGGGGTGCGTTTCCTGACCTGCGCCAGCGCTTCCCAAAGGGCCCGGCCCTGCTGTCCGCCCATAAACCTCCCTCCAGAGATGTCACAGCTGCTGGGGGCTGGGGACATCGGGGAGAGACCCTGGGAGCTGCGTGTGCCCCCAGGCCGGCATCTCCCCCGGCTGAGGGGCCCGTGCGGATGCTCGTGGAGCGGAGGAGGAGGATGGAGCCACCCACCGCTCGCGCGCTCACCCCAACGAAGCGCGTGGGGCCTGTGTGGGCGCTCAGCTGGATGCTGGGGCGAGGATCTGTTGGTGCAGCCCTTCCCGGGCTTTCCGAGCCCTTCCCAGGGCATCATGCCCCCCCTGCCCAGTGCCGCTGCGGAGGGGTGTTCCCGGCAGAGCGCTGGAATTCCTCCTCCCCGCTCCTCGCCTGCAGAACAATTAAAAGCAATCCTGATGAAGACCTGCAGCAACCCTTAATTTTAATGAGGTTGTGCGGGAGGAGCTGGCAGCTGCGGGCTCTGACCCAGCTGCATCTTGCACTGCAGCTCCCGCCACCATTCCCACTTCCCAGATGAGGTCGGCACCCTGGGGTGTTTTCCCTTTCCCAGGTCTGTGCACAGCGCTGGGTGCCGAGGAAAGGGGAACCAGGCTGCACTTTGGCTTCCGCAGAGCGGCAGTTCCTGGAAAGCGCTGCCTCTGCACCCACTTCCCCTGCAATGCCGGTGCCTGTGTTTTTGGGTGTCGAAGTGCTGCGCAGATCTCCGAGCCCCGGCTCTGAGCAGCCCCCTGTCCCGGCAGGGGGAGCGAGGTTAAAGATGCTCAAGCCGGGATATGGACTGCAGGAAGGGCAGAGGGACGATGGCGATTCCTGGGGACCCACCAGTGCTGCCCCTCAGGAACGCTGGGCAGGCAGAGGCACCGTCACTTTGACACCCACTGACCCCCCAGGAGGTCCCTAAATCCTGCAGGAGGAAGATGCAGATGATGTTGGGGTCATGAGGAAGGGAGAGCAGAGCCCATCCCGATGCTGGGGCTGTCATCTGGGAAAGGGATGGGAAGTGGAGCCAGAGCGCATGGAGCCAGGAGTGCTGTGAGCATGCCTGGAGCTGGGAGGCTGCAAAGTGGCCCCACGAGGGACCTGGGCACGGGGGGAGCAACTTGGTCCTGCAGGGAAGTGATTGGAACTACGGGGAGCAATGTGGCCCCACCGGGGAAGGATGCATCCCCACCAGCAGCGACTGGGCCCCATAGAGGAGCAATGTGGCTGCACCTGGTAGCAATGTGGCCCCACAGGGAAGCAACCTGACCGCAGGGGTTAGCAATTGGGTCCACTAGACAGTGCCTCGGCCCCGAACCGGCCACTCTGGAGGGAGGTCCGGCCCCCACGGCGCGTGGATCGGGCCCCACTGGGGAGCGATCGGACCCACCGCGGAGCAGGCGGCCCCTCCCGGCCAGGCAGGGAGGGCGTGGCTCCACGGGCAATATTTAAATAACCACGCCCATCACTCCTTACATGGCAGAGGACACGCCCCGCCGCTCGTGATTGGCCGCCGGCCCCGCGGCCCCGCCCCGCTATAAAGG